TACATGATTTTTTTTTGTGCCATGACCTTATAAATCAAAATATCAAGCTAATTTTTAAATCTTATTTCATGCCCCCTTTAAAACTCAACTGAGATGCAGGGCTGAAAGCAGAATCCATTTTCTTTGTCTGTTTCTGCTGCCTTAGCCTGACTATTTATCTGTGTCCATCTCTGTATCTCTCGTTCTCGTAATCTGTCTTCTGCCAGCAGATGCAGAATCAAGCAGGCCGATTGTTTGATGAGTCTCTGTCTGCTGTCTTCTAGATGCTGACATTTGCGCTAATCTTATGTTTGAGGTCAGATCTACCTCAGCCGGTGGCCTTCTTCTAGTTGACATGACATTTTATGTGTCCTGCTGGGTAACGCACTGTACTTTGGTTCCTCTAAAGCTTTTTTTCATGTAAAAAAACAACATCAATAACAAAAATTACAATATTACTACTAATACCAACACCACCACTGCTACTATACTACTGCTACTACTGCTAAAATTGCTAATACAATTATTTAATTAAGTTAATATTTTAATTAAATAAAGTTTGAATATTCATATTATAACAATTTACTATTGATTAATGTTATATGTGTTATTACAATATTATGACTGTAATATAGTTGACTGTAATATAATATTGCAAATGCACAATCTAGTTATAATAATAATAATAATAATAATAATAATAATAATAATAATAATAATAATAATATTAATAATACCATGTTATTTGATTCCTAATTTAAAAGAATGTACTTATAAAAATGTTGTACTGTTTATTTAATACATTTTTAATAGTTAAATTAGTTAATTCATGTTGTTCATGCTTTTATCAGCAGTATGTTGGATTACTGCAATGGTCTTCTCACTGGTCTTTCCAAAAAAGACAGTCAGACAGTTCATCCAGGACGCTGCTGCCAGGATTCTGACCAGAACCAGATAATTAGAGCACATCACACCTGTCTTTAGGTCTTTATACTGGCTCCCAGTTACATTCATAGAGTTTAAAATATTATTACTTGTCTATAAATCACTAAATGGCCTAGGACCTCAATACATTACAGATATTCTGACTGAATACAAACCGAACAGATCACTCAGATCTTTAAGATTACATAAACTAGAAATTACAAGAGTTCATTCAAAGTAGGGTGAATCGACTTTCAGTTTCTGCGCCCCTCACTGCTGGAATCAGCTTTTAGAAATGATCAGATCTGCTCCAACATTAGGAACATTTAAATCATGACTGAAAACACTGTTAAGCTGTGCCTTTATTGAATGAGCACTGTGCTACAGATCACACTATGGTGAATTTCTTTACTTTTTTCATACCTTTTATAACCTGTTTTAACACATTTTAGTTTGTTTTAGTTAGTCTGTTTTTAATCTTTATTTTTCATTTTCTTATACTTGTCTTTTTTTTTAATTGCCACTGTTTGAAATGTGCTATATAAATAAACTTGCCTTGCCTTGCCTAGTAATAGTTATTATTAGTAAATAACCATTATTAACTAAATTTATCAATTAGAAATACATTTACATAAACTGAATTTATATATTTGGTTAACTATTGTTTGTGTTACTATTCATATTAATATATGCATTTATAATTTAATAATTTATAATTATTATTGTTATGAATGTGTACATAGCGAGTTAAAAAATGCAGGCTTTATTAAGTAAAGGGATGGCCAGACAGGAAGGGTCCACAGGAACAAACAGTAACATAAGGGTCATCAAAAGCAAAATCCAGAAAGGCAGGCAATGGTCAGGGCAGGCAGCAAACACTATTAAAAAATCACAAAACCAAAATCAAAAAAACTAAACATGGATAAACACCAAAAGCTAGGAACCAGGAAACTGCTGGGTAAATAGTCCTGGTATCTAGTCCTCATGAAATTCAGCTGTGTGATTGTAATCAATGGTGAACAGGAACTGGTGTCTTTAAAGTGCATAATGGAATATGTTGTCCGGTTCAGTATCAGATGTGATGTGTAGAGTGCCTGTAGAGTATGTCTGGCGGCCACTCAACTTGGCCACTGTGACAGTCATTTACAGAACATACATTCCTAATATTTATAGAAAATAAATAATATAAATTCTGGCCTCATAAATTGAATGCTTTAATTTTTTATTTTAATTATTTATAAATTGTTGTGAATATAATTACTGTATAAATGTTCATTAGTATTATATAATGTTCATGAAACAAGCACAACCTTTAATAGACTGTATTTTGACAACAACAACAACAACAACAACAATAATAATAATAATAATAACCAATATTATTATTAGTTTATTATGCATTTATAATTTTAAGTTACAATTTATAAAAAAAAGACTTTTTACTGACCATATACTGTAAAAGGCACTGTATAGCAGTTTATTTTAAATGAAAAATAATGAAATATTGAAAATATTTATATTTAAAAATGAAATATTTATAATACATTTTTTAAAATAATTAACCTGTGCTTCAAAGGTACATTTTATTTGCTTTCACTTTGTTAATTTTACTGTAGCTTCACTGTTCTGATTTAGATCTCTGTCTGGATTGACCAGTACGAGTGCATATGTTTGCATTCAGGAGTTTTGAAAGGTGTTGATGAGTCATTTCAGTGAAGGAAAGGACTATAAGAGCACAGCAAACAGATGCAGTCAGCCTGAGCTCTGTCTGTCAAAGCCTGAGATTATTAAAGGCATTTATGCAGTCCAGGTTCTCAGCAGTCAATAACAATGGAGGTGTAAATCTTCTCATATAAACAGAACGAGCCCACAGATTATTTATTTCAAGCAGCGAGGCATTTGTGAATTCATTTAACAAACATCAATATTTCACTTTCAACTATGATTAACGCAGAAAGAGAAATACCCAAGCCTGCTTCAAAAGCCTGGTGCTTTAATAACCTGGCTCCTTTATGCTGTGATGATTCAGAGACAGAGTTCTACAACACATTTCACTTCGTTTGTGCTTTTCCAATTCATTATGAGACCTTGTTTTTTGCTCTGACAACTTTTGATATTGAAAAGTTTTCTGATCTGACTGAAAGTATGTACAGTTGAAGTTTTTTATTAGCCGTCCTGAATTATTAGCCCTCTTTTATATTTTTCCCCAATTTCTGTTTAACTGAAAGAAGATTTTTTTTAATCAACAAATTTCTAATTTTAATAGTTTTAACAACTTATTTCTAATAAATTACTTCTTTTATTTTTGCCATCATGACAGTACATAACATGTTACGAGATATTTATTTGAAATATTAGTATTTAACTTAAAGAGCAATAAAGATGTAACTAGGTAAATAGGTTAACTAGGCAAGTTGGGGTAATTAGTAGGCAAATCGTTGTATAACAAAGGTTTGTTTTGTATACAATAAAAAAAATATATATATTGCTCAAGGAGGCTAATAATATTGACCTTAAATTGTTTTTTAAAAATTGAAAACTGCTTTTATTCTAGCTCTGTTAAACATCATTTGGGAAATATTTAAAAAAGAAAAATTCCCACGAGGGCTAATCATTTTGATTTCAAAAGTATATCTGTACAATAAACAAAGAAAATGTAGAAAATGATTTAAAGGAACTAATGCAGACAATATGTTGTGTCTAATAAGTGTAAATAAAAGTATCTCTTCAAGATACCATTGTTGAATATTAAGATCCAGGTCTCATGAAAAAAAAATAAAAAGAGTGGTGAAGGGTGACAGTATCTTCAAATCTACTTTGCAAAAAGTAAAAGCCTCATCTTCATCACAAACTCTGTGAATGTTCAAGTTTTCTCTTATCAGTTTGTAGTTTTTATCAATATTTAAGTAGTAGGCAAAACTTGTTTTACGCTGTTCAATTCAATTGCTTATTCAGTTTGTTCCACTGACAAAAAAGTTCTCAGAAAAATATTCATGGCCTTATGACAATCATGTTTATGACAGATTTATGATAGGTTATGTTGTTTTGGGGCAGCACTGTGGCTCAGAGTATAGCACTGTCACCTCACAGCAAGAAGGTTGCTGATTTGAGTCCAGGCTGGGTCAGTTGGCATTTCTGTGTAGAGTATGCATGTTCTCGTCATGTTCGTGTGAATATCCTCCAGGTGCTGTGCTATAGTTGAATTGAATAAACTAAAATTGGCCATAGTGAATGTGTGAATGAGTTTGTATGTATGTTTCCCAGTACTGGGTTGCAGCTGGAAGTTCATCCGGTGTGGAAAACATATGTTGGATAAGTTGGCGGTTCATTCCACTGTGATGAACCCTAATGAATTAAGGGACTAAGCCACAGGTAAATGAATGTAGAAGGCATTTTAACTTTACACTGAACACTGAAGTAAAGAAGCCTGTATTTTACATCGATATTAATGACCTCTTCTTATTCCTCAATCAACACATTTCCAACTCCATTACATTTTAGAAAGAATTTAAAAGGACCCTAAACTCCCTCAGACACTTTGCATTTATCTCTTAATATATAGGGTATCTATTCTTTCTTTTCTAACATTCAAGCTATAAACTCCTGCAGTTTCTCTGCTGTTGAAACAGTGGGAATCCTAAATAATTGGAAGCAAATGTCCTAGAAACCATGGAAAACGTAGCAAAAAGTATTATTCCCTAGGACAACATTTTAGCATTATGCCTATCACTTTTGTACACCACTAATGTTTTTTGGGATATTTAAATTCAGGCTTTTGTTGACATGCATTTTCATAGCACTTTTCCTGCTTCACTTTACCCTCAAATGATGTCTCATTCTCAGCTACTCCTCCAGTACCTTGTCATGGGACTTCTGCCAGAAGCAATTTACAGTCGGTTTGTTCACTGACAAATATTCCTCAGAGACAGCATAAAAAAGTTGTGAAAGTGATCCAGGCTTCGAAAGTAGAGCTATAATCTCTGTGGACCAATTACGTTTATCATACTATCAAACAAAAGAGTGACATTCAGAGGTGAAAAACCCTCTTTGTGAAGTATTATCACGGCTAATGTTGTTTTTCTCCTTCTCTTTTATAGTTTCAGATCACTAACAGCGTTGACTGCATTATATAGAGACACAGACGATTTGCTCCTCGAGTCGAGACATGGAGAGGACAGAGAATAAAGTGAGTCTGAAAGCATCACAGAATACAGAAAAAATTGTCCTAATCTGCTTGAAAAAGAAATAGTTCAGGCTAAAATGATTTACTTATCCTCCACTTGTTCCAAATCAGTTTATTTCTTCTGTTGAACACAAAGACGATATTTTGAAGAATGTTGTAAACTGGAAGCAATTAGATATGTTTTCACCCTCCTTTTTTTATGCACATTTTAAAATTTGAATAATGAAAATGACTAGATGTGCATATATTTTTAAAATGTGCATAAAAAAAACAAAAACAAGCACAAACCAGCGGCCAAGTTCAGTAATATTATGTCCTAGAACTGTCCTAGAACTGAAATCTTTTGTCTTCATCTTTTGTAGTACAAGTCGTTTATTATATAGGAAGAACTCAGCAAATGGCATTATTCTTTTTGATATTTGGCACGTGTTTATCAGAAAGAGACGATTTTTGTTGCATTTAACTTTTTGAATGGAAATAGTGCTTTATTTGGAAAAGTTTTATGCAGTATTTTGGTTTTGGACATACAGTGGGTTACACTTTAAAAGGACCATTACCACAGCGAGTGGCACCGCCGGCACACTAAAGGATTAAGAACGTGTTTTTAGGAATAACCACAGTTTTCGACAGGGGGCACAAAGAGATGGGATGCGAATGATCCGAAATATACTGTAGCTGTAAAAACCCTGCTACTTGTAAAAGAAGATGAAATAATGAAATAAAGCATTATACTTCCTTCATTATTCATTAAAAACTTGTTAAGTTTTATTATCATTGTAAACTTGTTACATGAAATGAGGATTCATTTTGTAAAGGATAATTAAAGAAATAAAAGACAACTAAAATGAAAGTATAAATATACAGAAAAATAAGTAGGCACATACAGTTTTGCAAATACAGTGGGTGACACTTTAAAAGGAGCATTACCATCGCTAGTGGCACTGCCGCTACACTAAATAATTAAAAACGGGATTTTAGGTATAACCGCAGTTTGCGACTATGCTGCCAGGGGGCACAACTGGGATGGGATGGGATGCGAACTGACAGAAATATACAGTAGCTAGAAATACCCTGCTACTTGTAAATGATCATTCCTTCACTATTAATTAAAAACTTGTTAACAAGCCTTATTAATATCTTGTTAAGTGAAATGAGGATTCATTTTGAAAAGGAAAATTAAAGAAATAAAAGACAACTTAAATTAAATTACAAACAAACAAACAAACCAACAAACAAACAAACAAATAAATAAATAAATAAATAAATAAATAAATAAATAAATATATAAATAAATAAATAAATAAAGCAGTGTTTTAGCCTAAATATAGAGAGATGTACAGTGTTTGTTATTTTAAAGTGACAGGACCAAGACATTCAATAAATAAGCTTTTTCATTTACAGTTTTCATTTGCAATTTTTTTGTTGATTATATTTTACCATCTTTTTTTTACCACTTTTTGTCTTAATTATTGTACATAAATAATAAACAAATAATTAATTAGGCCTAAATAATTAATATTTAAAGACATTACCAGTGAAACATGGAGATACAATCCTGCACAAGGTCTAGGGTTCTTAAGTTAAATGCTACTTCATCAAAAGCATAAAAATAAATAAACTCAAGCAGATTGCTAAAATTATAATAAAAATAATTTTGCTGCAGTCCCGCAAGTTTATTATTAATAAAACATCAATATTCTCCTTCAAATAATATATATATATATATACAGTTGAAGTCAGAATTATTAGCCCCCCTAAATTATTTGCCCCTGTTTATTTTCCCCAATTTCTGTTTAACGAAGAGAAGATTTCTTCAACACATTTCTAAACATAATAGTTTAATAATGCACTTCTAATAACTGATTTATTTTATTTTTGTCATAATGACAGTACATAATATTTGACTAGATATTTTTCAAGACACTTCTATACAGCTTAAATTGACATTTAAAGGCTTAACTGGCTTAATTAGGTCAACTAGGCAGGTTAGGGTAATTAGACAAGTTATTGTATAATGATGGTTTGTTGGAAAAAATTTTAATAAAATAAAAAAGAGGCTAATAATTTTATCCTTAAAATGGTTCCTAAAAAATTGTATCTGCTTTTATTCTGGCCAAAATAAAACAAATACGACTTTCTCCAGAAGAAAAAAATATTATCAGACATACTGTGAAAAGTTTCTTGCTTTGTTAAACATTATTTGGGAAATATTTAAATCTGATGGGGGCTAATAATTCTGACTTCAACTGTATATATATATATATATATATATATATATATATATATATATATATATATATATATATGTATATATATATATAGTTATATATATAACTTTTAAAACTAACAATGGCTAATTAGCTAATAGCTATAGCTAATTTATCAATATTTGCTATAATAATATACATTGGTCTGTCTGTAAGTCTAATTTGCATCTTTAGATTAAAACATACCTAATGATTTTCATAATGTTTTTATGGATGTCTATCCAAAAATGAACAGCAAATGATAAATAAATTAGCGCATGTACTGTTGAAGTCAGAATTATTTGCCCTCCTGAAATATTAGCCCCCCTGTATATATAACAAGTACATTTCTAAAGATAAAAGTTTTAATACTAATTTTTAATAACATACTTATTTTATCTTTGCCATGATAACAGTACAGTTAAGTCAGAATTATTAGCCCCCTGTTTATTTTTTCCCTAATTTCATTTTGGTTGAGAGCAGATTTTTTTTAAACTCATTTCTAAACATAATAGTTTTATTAACTTATATCTGATAACTGATTTTTAAAATCTTTGCCATGATGACAGTAAATAATATTTGACTAGATATTTTTCAAGACACTTCTATACTGCTTAAAGTGACATTTAAAGGCTTAACTAGGTTAATTAGGTTAACTAGGCAGGTTAAGGTAATTAGGCAAGTTAACGTATAACAGTGGTTTGTTCTGTAGACTATTGAAAAAATTTATAGCTTAAAGGGGCTAATAATTTTGACCATGAAAGAGGTTTAAAGAATTAAAAACAGCTTTTATCGTAGCTGAAATAAACCAGATAAGACTTTCTCCAGAAGAAAAAATATTATCAGACATACTGTAAAAATGTCCTTGCTCTGTTAAACATCATTTGGGAATTTAAAAAAAAGAGGCTAATAATTCTGACTTTGACTGTATGTAATATTTACTTGATATTTTTAAAGATACTAGTATTCAGCTTGAGGTGGCATTTAAAGGCTTAATTAGGATAATTATGTAAGTTAGGGTAATTAGGCAAATCATTGTATAATGATGGTTTACTCTTTATGAAAAAATATTGCCTAAGTGGGGTAATAATATTGAACTTTAATTTGGTTTAAAAAATTAAAAAACTGCTTATTTTCGACAAAACTTTCTGCAGAGAAAAAAAAAGAAAATAGTGTGAAAATAATCCCCTGTTAAGCATTATTTGGGAAATGTTTTAAAAAGAAAAAAAGAAATATTGCTGCACAAATAATTTTTGCTTCAACTGTATATGCTTTTTTAGTCTTAATCTATCTTTTTCTCATACCCCAAAGGAGTCCACCATCTCCCCACAAAAACAAACAGTGAAAAACAGATCCAAGTCAACTGAAGAAGTGCAGCAAGCCAAAAAGGTAATGGCACTTTAATGTTCATGTCACACAGTTATAGCGGAAGTGATGCTCAACTCGTTTCTGATGAGAATGTAGATGACAGTGACATTCTAGGTTTCAGTTCTTTATTGCTCTTTCATGCAGTGCATTTTACATACAGTACTGGCCACAACAAAACCACATGTACAGTACAACGTGTGTCACTCTAGTACAGATTTCAGCAGCTGTTCAGCACCATCTAGTGATGTGGTCGAATAATCTCAAAATGTGTGTGTATGTGTGTGTTTGTGTGCATGGATTTACTTGAGTTTGTCTACCTTTATTAAGTGCATTATGACATCCTCATTTAAAAAAATATGCATACATGATATGCATTTCTATTTAAGTAATAATATTAATAACCATAACACTACAATAGTGATACATTTACTAATACTACTGCTACTAGTAAACTACTAAAACTAGTCAAGTAATAAAATAAATTAAAATCAAAACATGCATGACATTAATACTTGATACATGGTAACACTTTATTTTGATGGTCCATTTGAGTATTAGTAGACTGTATGCTTAATATCTGTTGAAATACTCCTTCAACAAGAATTAAATAATCGTTTTCTATGTATAAAATGGATTATATTATTTGGTAACAGTAAATTAATAAATACTACATTAAATACTACATTAAACTTATTTCTGATGAAATGAGTTACTACATTGAATGTAATAATCTCAATATAAATGTATGTTTTTTCTATAATTAGAACAATAATAAGCAGTTAAATAAATAAATAAACAATTAATATTTAAATCGTAAAATGTTTTATACTAAGTATTTATTAAGTAATGATATTAGTGTTATTTCATTAAAAACAACGATAACAACAATAATGATAGTAATATTAATATAAATAAATAAATAAATAAATAAATAAATAAATAAATAAATAAATGAATAAATAAATAAATAAATAAATAAAATGAAGGAATGTCTTTGTAGGGTTATAGTTTGGGTTAACCTTTGTATCTTTTCATTGTATTCATTTAATGTAAAACAATACATTTTGCACATCATCAGGAATTTACTTTCTTATGGTTCATTTCCACTGACTGGTACGGTTCGGGTCACCTTTATCAGGACTGCATTTCTACTGCTTGAAGGGTACCAAGGGCAGAAAGTTTCAGTCAACGTCATTCTCGGGCGAGGAAATCATGCTCAAAGTAAAGCTGTATGGGTTATTCACATATCATACAAGAAGCACTTCTCACAGGACAGATGCTTTATACACACACTGTAAAAATGCAGGGTTCCACACAATTTATTCATGTTGTCCCAACACAAATTGAGTTAACGTAACACTTTTAACAAACAAATTTATTTAAGTTGTCCCAATGAATTCTTAAGAATTTTGTTGTTTCAGCTCATTTTAATTAAGCAGTTTAAACAGTTTAAAAAATATTTGTGTTTAATTTAGTGCATAAATACTTAATATATGAAAATTATATAAAATAAATGTTCATTTCTAACTTTTTTTATGAACAAGATTTGATTATAACTGCAGATCAATGACAGTGTGAAATATCCTACTGTAATGTATGCAACTATGTAAAAACAATTAAATAAATGCAACATACTGTATATGAACACATACAGACTCTTACAGTCTCCGGTATGTTATCAATTACAGAAAAACAACACACAGCATACATTTTGTCTTTATTTGGGTTCAAAAACAACACACAACATATAGCCCCCAGTAGAGATGCGTGGAGCACCTGAAATGACACCCGAATCCCTTGCTTCATACTAATCATCTACCCACCCACTAGGGTTGGGCATCTAAGCTATAATGCCGATCCGATACGCATCTCGATACAAAGAATACGATCCGATATATTCGCGATACATTTGTGACATATTGCGATGCAACACGATACGATTCACACCCATATCACGATACGATGCGATATTTCAGCACTAACTAATTAGATCAAGTTTATAAGATGATGTGAAAGAGGATGCTGTGCCATTGAATGAGTTTGATTATTTATAAACCAAGCAAAACCAAGACTTTTTTTTTACAAACTGGCTCTTCTCTCAGAGCCAGAGTGTCAGTTTACAGTAGAGGGCCATTTTAGAACATATAGCACATATTATTTAAGTATTTTCAAGATAAACAGAATGTATAAGTGCAATATATATTAAAAAAATATGTATATATTTGCACTCTTTCAACATAAATAAATTTAGCATTGCTCAACAAGAATTGTGATTTAACTTTTCAACTATGAAAACAAGTTTTACAAAGATATATTTTGCCACTGATTATTCAAAACTTAAGGTTGTGAACTAGCAGTGTTATGCTGCTTTGAAACATCACTGTCACTGTAAACAACAGGCTAATAAAAATATAACAAACCAGCAATCTTCTTGCTGTGAGGTGGTCAAACTACCCACTGTGCCACCGTGACACCCAATTATTTTTATCATTATTATTATTAATATTATTATTATTATAATTAAATAAAAAATAACAGGAGGAGGTGTTTAAAACCTTCGTTCTCCGTGACACTAGGCTGAATATCTTTGCAGATGAACAATGCAATAGCATTCGTTATTGGCGTAGAGCGAGCAGAACTGTTGCGCATGGAAAAAAAAACTTGCAATGCTTTTCTCACCACTTTTGGAGCTGGTTGAAGCAGTGCGAAAGCCGGGGATGCAGAAACACTGGAAGATGCTTTCACAACAACACCGTGGCGCTGCTTCAAGTGAGATTTCAGATTAGTCGTACTGCCCGCGTATTTTACAGACGCGCGGCACATTTTGAATAAAAATAAAATTGCATCTGTCCTGTCATGTCGTCCATTCTTAAATCCATAATGTTGCTTGCCATACTTTAGATTTAAAACTCAGTGGGGAATAAAATGTTTGTTTTGCTTCTCGCGCTTTCTGAGGGCGCTCCACTAGCTTCATCCGCACACCTGATAGTTGTAGTGTAAGTGTGCACATCCGCAAATCCGTTGCTAAGGCTTACTTTATGTAGGTCGATTAAATTATGCGCCAAAAACAGGTTGACAACACTTGTTAATAAATAAAAAATACATTCTATATTAAAAATATAAGCTGTATCTCGGAAAAATTGATGCATCTCGCAAAAACCGATGCATCTCGATTTGCTTCCAAAATTTCATTCATCCTCTGCTGCTCAACCGATGCACTCGCATCGTGCACGCGCATGACCGCGTATCGATACATATCGGTTAATCTTCCCATCCCTACCACCCACACATATACTTTTATCTTTTATATGTATCTGCACCCGACCCGCACCCAATCTTCACTTTAATAATTGTAATTCTTTGTTTTAGGCATGATGATAGGTCATTGTGGATGTTGACAGCAGATTCAGTGAGCTAATCTGTGCATCTCTGATAGTAAAATAATAGCCTACGTTAATTATAAACATTTTTAAATGAATATTTATTTATAAAAACAAAAGTTTGTCTTTAGACAACATTTACTTCATTTTCCAATACACAAAGTAAAAATAAGAAATTTTACCTTTACTATCTGCAAAGGTAAAGAACAAGATAACAAAAAGGGTGCCACAGTTGTGTTTACTTAGCCTTTTCTTTGCACTGTGTAAAAATGAATAGCCTCTACTGTACCTAAATTCAGGCGATTTCACCTCGCCTCCAAAACACGGTCAGCTGCAATGAATGAGTGTTCGCTCGCACCGCTTGTTAAAGGAATCTACAAGATTCTCCTCGCATGGCGCTGCAGTTGTGTAAATAAGCAATCTTGTTTCTCCCAGAACGAAAGCAGATTTTTCTCTGATGACTCTTCTAACTAAAAGTTTAAACAATACTCTTACACTTCCGTTTTTTTTGCACTTCACTCTCGTGTTTGATTGTTTCTGAAAGGATCAGGTGTCAGAGGCACTTTAATATTCACCAGTACATTATTATCTTTAGCTCAAAAAGTTTGTTATTTCAAATATAGACAGAGATGTATAGTAACGAAGTAGAACTACTTCACTACTGTACTTAAGTACTAAAAGGCAGTATCTGTACTTTACTGGAGTATTATTTTTTTCTCCTACTTCCACTTTTACTTAAGTACATATTTTCCATGAGTTTAATACTTTTACTCCGATAGATTTTTTATGTGCTGCATCGTTACTCGCTACTAGGGGTGTCAAAATGATCGATATCAGTTCAGTAATAGGTCATAACCGGTGATTACGTGATGACGTCATTTATCTCCTATGCGCGATGTCGCAATACTATGGCGGAGGACGGAGGCGCGATTGAAGGCGGCACACGAGCCGCTAATTTACTATTAGGGAGAAATGTTGTAAAACTTCACCTCTGCCTCTCTCTTTCTCACTTTGGACATTTGACCCGCTGGCCTGTTTGTAAGGTAACTTTCCCTCTTTTCTTGGCTGTTAAAGCTGTCGATCCATCCAGACACGAGCGTGTCTGATGTTCAAGTTTTCTCCACTTTGTCTATTACCTGTGATAACTGCGTATTCTTCCCGCCATGGGTGAACAGCGCTTCATTTCTAAAGCCCTTTCTGTTGAGCAGATGAAGATAATAACCAATCATCATAAGACCCGCCTGTCAGCGCTCAAAAAGCAGGCGGTATAATATTGACATGAGTTTATTAGCTGTAAATGCTCGTGCTGTCTTCTGTGCTTGAGTTTTGTTTGATACATTCAGAAAGAGTGCTTTCTTTAAGCAGGTCAAATTAAGAGTAGGGTTCATATATCTGACTGCTGTATTAAAGAACAAAATTGTATTAAAAATAACCCTATAACTGCCACACCAAGACAAAAGCAATAGATTTTTTTTTTATTGCATTTCTTAACTTATAATGTCGCTATTTAACACAGTCAATGCATTTTTTTCTCAACACATCCCATAATTTCTAAAATATCAGCCTCTACCAACTGGTTAAGAAGTTGGTTTATGGTAAAAGTACCAGAATTAATAAATATACTACAGAACATATGAAGTGCCAGACCAATTGAATTAAAAACATAATCAAAATTTAAAAAATTAATACTAAACCATAGCCATAAAGTTTTCTTTTAACACAGTACTATACACGCTTTCCTGTTTTTCTTTTTTTTTTTTTTACAATAAAATCGAAATCAAGTGAATTAGTGCAACAGGATTTAGTTTGCTTGTTTAGTTTAGTTTCACGACTGCTCCCAGAAGACAAAACTCCTGTTTATTGTGGTATTAACCAATCAAACTTCAAAACTACCAAAGTGTGAGTGTGTGTGAGTGAATAATGCATGTAAGAGAGAAACAGTGTGATTGTACCTGTGTGTGCGTCTGTGTGTGTGTGTAAGAGAGAGAGAGAGAGAGAGTGTATGAGAGTGTAAAAGAGTGTATTTTCATGTTTGTGTGTGTGTGTGCCCACGTATATGTATAACAACATCGGTATTACACAGATGTTAGGAGGAGATGGTGAATTATGTGTATATTATGTATAAAATTCAATCACACTAAATATTTTTTTATTTTCAGAAAGTAAAACTACACATAATTTCCTGTAAGGGTTGGGTTTAGAGATTGGATTTGGGGTTAGAGCATTCAAAAGTATAGTTTGTAGAGTATAAAAACAATTGTAACCTATGTAATGTCCCCACAATTCACAAAAATGTGTGTGTGTGTGTGTGTGTGTGTGTGTGTGTGTGTGTGTGTGTGTGTGTGTGTGTGTGTGTGTGTGTGTGAGAGAGAGAGAGAGAGAGAGAGAGAGAGAACTGTGTGTGAGTGTATGAATGTGTGAGAGTGTACATTTAGGTGTGTGTGTATGTGTGTGTAAAAGAGAGAGAGAGAGAGAGTATGAATGAACATGCTGAATTATCTCATCAGTGAAGTGATTTTCTGGTAAAAGAGCCTGACGATGTGAGTTCTTGTACCATAGAAATTATTTACAGAGAAAAACAGTATCATAAGCCATGTTTCTTTTCATTCTGCTTAATCAAGTGCCCCAAAGATATTTAAAATAAACAAAACAATATGATGTCTTTTGACTGCCTTCTTTAATAACTACATTACACAATACTTGTACTTTTACTTTCAGTACTTGAGTAGTAAATTTTGAAATAAGCTACTTGCAATACTTAAGTACTAAAAATGTTGAATACTTTAGTACTTCCACTTAAGTATGGTGATTAAAGAGCACTTCTACTTCTACTCAAGTCACTTTTTGATAGAGCACTTGTACTTTTACTTAAGTACGGGTCTCTAGTACTTTATACATCTCTGAATATAGACGCACATGCGAGCTCCCTGTAGAAAGTGAAACCACTCACACTTTGTGGCTGCACATCAAGACAATGACAAGGTTTGTTTAAGCTTGGGTCTACCATGGCTCATTATTATATGTATATAGTTTTACGAAGTAATGTCTCGGCTGTGTATTTAAGAATGGCGGTTTCTTTGTTTTCATTCTCCACTTGTGTATGTGTGAGTGACATTTCTTTGTAAACCAATAGCATTTAGCTGCATGTCAAGAATCGTCATTTGCTGTGCTAGGGACCCTTTGTAAAGGGTACCCAAAAGTGGTATGACACGGTTCATTTTAAGGTATCTTTTGACAGTGGAAATGGCCATAAAAGCGTATCGAACCATACCGTATCAGACCACTCAGTGGAAACAGACCATTAGTATCTCAAACTATTGTGATACTCTATATGACTGCATATCATACCTTATACTCAGTGGTGGAAAGAGTACTGAATAATCAAACTCAAGTAAAAGTACCATTACTTAAAAGTATCTGTTGTAAATTTGACTGCTCTGCTTCAAATGCATTTTTGCACAGACTAGGATGTCCAGCTCAGTGTTTTGCACAGACAAATCCTCATTCTGCTTGCTACTTAAATGCATGTGTTGAGAAGTATCATCTTAATGCATTGTAAAGTTTCTGCTTTCCCTCTCTGCCACAGGCCTTTCATACACCACAAAAATCTCTGCCGGCCAAACCAGAGACCGAACAACTAGAGGTAAACATGAAATGACGGATTATGAACTTTAGAGCTTGACTTAAAAAAAAAATGATCAAAGATTAGAGCAAAGAACAGTCAGCTCTGCTTGTGCTGTCAGAGCTGCATTATTATGTGCTTCATGTTTGTGTTTGAAGTCCTCGATTATATTGTGTTTAATGTGTTGTATATTTCATAGGAGACGGCAGAACTGAGTGCCTCATCACAGGAGTTTAAATGATTGCCGGATTCAAACTTCTGAGCGCTGAGATTTAGAGAGATCGACTGGGATTATGGGTCAAAAACAAGAGGATGATTCAATGTCTTTATTCATGGATTTGTGATTCCGTTTAGCTAGCATAGTAGAAAAGGAATAAAATAATTATGTGTAACTTCTTGACTTTGTATTAGTATTATGTTAGTGAAATAAATGCAGAACTAGATATAACACAGTACATTGTTTGTTTGTGTGTGTGTGTGTGTGTGTGTGTACTTAATTTTATTGAGGTAATCCTAGGCATTCAGTAGAGTTAAATTACATTAAAATATGTAAAAACTATTTAAATGACTACATTTGTAATCTGGTAAATATCCAATATCAATTTTTATGTTTTACATTTAAGCAGGACATCCAGAAACTGTTCACAGAGCTCCTATTTCCACATTTGCTACATGACAGCCTTATTTCAAAATGAATTTGATTTAATATTTTCCTCAAAGTTCTACAAACAATACACTCTATGATGACCGTGTGAAATATGTCTGTTAATTTTTTTTTATATATGACGGTTCAGGTTGGTGATGGTTGTGTAATGGCATACCATTTGTATGTTGCGCGCGTTCTAATCAGCTGTGTTGTCGCGGGCGCATACTGTAAAGCGGAGGGGTGGATTGAGCGCGTGTACTCAAGAGCGGTGTTGTCGTGCGCCTACTGAAGGGCGGGACGGAGAAGGGTGTGTCGTGTCGCGGGGGCACTTACAGTTGAGGAGACAGAAGAGGTAATACACTCAAGATGCTTATTATACAAATAAACTGTTATGCTCAGAGAATTCAGTGTGTGAGTAAGGAGTTTAATTAAAGTGTCCAGTGCATATAGAAAGAAAAGTGTTTCTACCGGTGGTTTGTCAAGCCCACTCACCTGTGTAAAGGACACTTCATAAATGCACTGTTTTTTTTACTTTATTATTTTTTATAGATATGAGGTGAGTGTGGGCATAGATATAGCATGGACAGAGGAGACGCGTCTCCACCAATATCCATCAACTATTGAAATGTCCCCACCAATAATTATATTGCTTTTAAAATTTTGCGCTGTCAATATTAACCTAGACATGCCAAAAATCTTAAATCACATTCTCTCCTCAAGTCACATTGCAAACACATTGAAACATTGTGATTGGCTTTGTCTTTACCTGCTGTCACATGAGAGGCTGTACCTGTGTTCAGATACAAGCAGCAAGTGCCAAAACTTCAGGTGTTTTTCACATGCAAGAATAAGGTGTGTGATGGTGTGTGAAGTGTGACATACGCAAGTGAGGAGGGCAGCAAAAAAAGGGCATGAACTTTTTTTAACCAAAAGTGCAAGTCGCATAAACTCAAGCTCGCTATTAAATGAGTCCATCGTGATAATGACATTAATACTCATGTTTTCCCCACTTTAATGCACAATCTAACATTATAGCAGACTGATATAGAATAAACAGCTAAATGTAAACGTATATATATGATTTCTGCCAGTTCTTCTAATCTGTAAAGTAGCATGTCCAATTTGAAACAATTTGTCAGAAAAACCACAGCCTCTCTCTTTGTAACGGGGAGACTGACACGGAGGGATCCATTATGCAGTATTTATTAGTCACACTTTCACTCAAACAATCAACACGCACAAAGGTGCAAACACACAAAAACAATAGTAATAAAAGGTCTTAAGGCTGGCGGCTGACAGACACAGAGTGATTTACCAGGCATGGGTCAGAGGCAGGCGGCGTGATTCAGAGTCCGTGTATCAGGCTTGGGTCGTGGGCAGGCAGAAGGCAAAGCAGAATCAGAAACGGGCTGGAGTAATTCACAGAAGATCAGGCAGGCTATAACGCTCAGTAAAGCTGGCCGGGGCTGAACAAGACTTCGCAAAGACTGAGTGTTTGAGTGCGGCTTATAAAGGGTACGTGGGTCATTAACTGGATTCAGTTCAGGTGTGCTAGATCATTGTAAGTGGATGATGTAATGCTAGAAGTCCGGAGATGGTGGCCTCTGCTGGCCAGCGAGGGGAGTGACTGGGACCGAGTCAGAGCCCCCCCCCCCCCCCAACGAATGGCTCTTGAAGTGAGAAGTCTTGACGCCGGGGTCTTCCACGGGGGCGAGGGGCCGGCATATCCGGATGTTGCAGTGGAACTCATCCAGCAGTGTTGAGTCAAGAATGTCCTTACAGTTGATCCATGATCTTTCCTCCGGGCCGTACCCCTCCAAGTCGATGAGGTACTGTAGTTGACCACCCCGGCGTCTGGATCTCAGGATCTCGTGGATCTGATAGGCCTCCTCTCTTCGTCGATCATGAGAGGCGGGGGACCCTGTTTACCGGCTGCCACCTCCCTATCCACCTCGGCTGGACCAACAGCAGGCTTGAGCAAGGAGACATGGAAAGTGGGAGAAATACGATACTGATTAGGGAGTGTCAGTTAAAAAGAAACAGGAGATATTTGTCTGTCTATCTGGAAAGGACCCACGTACCTGGGGCTGAGTTTTCTGCAGGGCAGTCTTAGGCGCAGGTCTCGAGTGGAAAGCCTCACCCACTGTCCTGGGGAATACGTGGGACCAGGACGACGGTGATGATCGGCTTGTTCCTTGAACCTTCGTACAGCGTGTGATAAGTGAGTGTGAGCTGCGTTCCATACCTCCTCGCACTTTTTGAACCATGTGTCGACTGCATGGAGTTCAGTGGCCTCACCGGACAAGGGAAATAGAGGAGGTTGAAAGCCTAGTACGCATTGAAAGGGAGTCAGACCTGTAGTTGCCTTTCTCAGGGAGTTCTGTGCATATTCAGACCACATGAGAAATTTAGCCCATTCAGCTTGGTTGGAGTGACAGTAAGTTCGGAGAAAGCGACCGATCTCCTGATTCAGACGTTCCGTCTGTCCGTTGGACTGGGGATGGTAGCCGGAAGTCAGACTAATGTTCACCTGGAGGTTTCTGAAAAAGGCAGACCATAGTCGGGAGGTAAACTGAGAACCTCGGTCTGAGACGATGTCTTCAGGAAGACCATAATAATGGAACACATATTCGCACAGCAGTTCTGCGGTTTCCAGGGCTGTAGGTAGTTTGGCTATGGGGATGAGTCGACAGGCCTTCGAGAAATGATCCACAACAGTGAGGATGGTGGTGTTCCCTTGGGATTGAGGTAAGTCAGTGACAAAATCTATGGCTATATGTGACCAGGGACGACGTGGTACCTCTAAGGGTTGGAGCAGACCAGCTGGACGATGACGGGAATGTTTGGCCATTTGACAGGGGGCGCACTTATTAATAAAGTTGATGATGTCCTTGTTGGTAGACGGCCACCAATAACGGGATTGGATTAGTTGAGCTGTTGCAGTGCTGCCTGGGTGACCGGAACTGGGATGATTATGAACTTCAGCTATCAAGTTCTCACGGAGCAACGGGGGAACAAAGATCTTGTTTTCGGGACATGCCTGCGGAGTGGGGTTTTGTTCAGAGGCTTGTATAATCTCATTCTATATGTCCCATATGATGGGAGCTATGCTTAAGGGATCTTTCAAAATGGGTTCATTCTCCTCAGCCAAAGTTTCTTCGTCTGAGAGGCGAGAGAGAGCATCTGCCTTAACGTTCTTTGAACCGGGGATGTATGTGACTTGGAAGTCGAAGCGGGTAAAGAATAGAGCCCATCTTGCCTGTCTAGGGTTTAGTCGCTTACAGGATCGGATGTACTCAAGGTTTTTGTGATCCGTAATGACGGTAAACGGGTGCTTGGCGCCCTCAAGCTAGTGTCTCTAGTCTTCCAAAGCGGCTTTCATGGCAAGGAGTTCGCGGTTACCCACGTCATAATTTCTTTCGGCGGAATTGAGTTTGCGGGAGTAGAAAGCACAGGGATGGAGTTTGTTCATGGTCAGGGATTTCTGGGACAGAATGGCTCCAATGCCAGTGTTAGATGCGTCAATCTTAACCACAAACGGTTGATTGGGATCAGGATGACACAGAATGGGTGCACTGTAGAAACGGGATTTGAGCTGGTTGAATGGCGTCTGGGTTTCATTTTAGGCGAGCGTTATTGGCCTTGACCATGGCTGTAAGGGGGGCAGCTACTAAGCTAAAGTTCCTAATGAACCGTCGATAGAAGTTGGCAAACCCCAGGAAACGTTGTAGCTGTCGAATGGTCTCCAGTTGTGGCCATTGCGTGACGGAGTCGACTTTCTGCTGGTCCATAGCCACACCCTCGGGACAGATTATATAACCCAGGAATGATATGCAGGTCTGATGGAACTCACATTTTGGAAATTTTGGCATACAACTGGTTGTGAATGAGGCGTTTTAGCACCGTTCTGACGTGCTGGATGTGCTCGGGTAAGGAATTGGAGTAGACAAGGATGTTGTCGATGTACACTATTACCCACTGGTTGAGCATATCTCTGAATATCTCATTGACGAAAGCCTGGAACACGGAAGGACTGTTAGCTAGGCCGAAGGGCATAACGAGGTACTCATAGTGGCCATTAATGGTAGAGAACCCGGTTTTCCACTCGTCTCCCTGTCGGATACGGATGAGGTTGTAAGCACTGCGGAGGTCCAATTTGGTGAAATACTGGGCTGAGCGGAGCTGTTCAAGGGCTGCTGGAACCAGTGGTAAGGGGTAACGATACTTGACAGTAATTTCGTTCAATCCTCTGTAATCGATGCAGGGGCGTAAACTGCCGTCCTTCTTTTTAACGAAGAAGAACCCAGCTGAAGCAGGTGATGTGGATGGTCTTATGAAGCCCTTTTCCAGTTCCTCAGAGATATGTGTTCATGGCTTCAGTCTCAGGTTGAGAGAGAGGGAAAATTCGACCACGAGGGGGCGTGGTACCTGGCAGTAGTTCTATGGCACAATCATTCTCACGATGAGGAGGGAGCTTAGTGGCTTTCTGCTTATTAAAAGCTTTGGTTAAGTCATGATAAGCTTCAGGAATTTGACAGAGTTCAGGGTCCTCAGTACTGGTTATCATGTTGATCTTGACAAGGGAAACAGAATGCAGACACTGGGTAAAATCGCTCCATCTAGTAATCTCACCAGTTTTCCAGGAAACTTGAGGGTCATGAAGTTGTAACCAAGGTAACCCAAGGATAACAGTGTGTCAAGGAGAGTCTATCGCTAGGAGGGAGATTTCTTCTATGTGGAGAGAGCCTGTTTGAAGAGATATTGGCAGAGTTTGGAATTTTATGTGTCCTTCCCCCAGGGGTCGCC